TTTCGCTGCTTCTCATCAATCACTGTCCCTGTGAGGACTTGCAACTTCCTGTAAAGCTCTGCAGTAGCATGAACATCGTCAAAATGCGGGCAAACAGCGGAACTCTTCCGTCCATCGAATCACACTTGAACAAGATTAACATCGTGCGTAACGCGCACGTCTAAACAACGCAATACTCCCCAGCGGATAATGCTGTGACGCAGCAATCCCAAACAGGATACTAAGGGAAACCTAGACAGCCAATGAACGTCGCAGAAACGCCCCAACTCCGCCCTGTTAAGCCAATACAAGTTCGGCAACCCAGCAGCAGGATTGTTTTTTTCCGGATTGGAGGTATTGTCCAGTATCGTGGCCCTTACTTATTTAGCCATTGTACGCGTTTTCGGTCTTTAGCGACAAGGTAATCTCGTAGACGGCCTCGTTGTTCACGTCAGCACGGACGGCAATCATTTCAATTGTGCTTGTTCCTGAGACGAAAGTGCTACGCAGTATAATTGTTTGCTTGTACCAAGTAAAGGCCTGGCGACGAGCCTGTTCTCTCGTGCCACATGCGTCGCATAAAGCCTTACTCTTAGCGCCATTTTCACTATTTATTCAACTATATAGTCATTCATTTCGTTTTTTTTTGTCGCAACTTTACTCTTTGCCGCTTCTGCTCTGCTTATATAAGCCTAAAGTCATACATGTTGTTGTCATTGTTTCGTAGCGGACCATCAGTTGTTTGTAAAATTCTTAGGCAGAGGAAAAACTTATTTTTTTTTTACTGGCGTTTCGTAGGGCCGTCAATAACCAAGGCGAAAGGCCACCAGAAAAACGACCTAATATTATGGCGCCTAAGAATCAGATAGTAATACAAAACAAGATAAAAGAAATTGGGAGAACCAACCAAGGCGCCCCGTTGTCAGAATATTTTCGAGAGAGAAGCTCATTTTGCACATCGCTTCATGCTCTAGTGTTTATAATGGGCAGAAGGTCCCTGTTGAATTACCATCTTACCATTTGGTGAGTGGACCTTGGAGTTCTATTAGTCGAAAGTAAAGAAAAATGGGAACCTGGCACTGCAAATCTCTAACGGAATCGCACACAGGGTCTCTAACACTAGGTTTCGGCAGTCATCGACGGCCATCGCAGCAGGCAAAGGAAAGTCCTCTCTTGTCTCCTAACCCGCACCCGGCCTCTCATCTGAGCCGAACTGTGCCGGCAAACAAGGTTTTAAAGTCCCACCCCAACGAACACAAATCGATCGTCCACCTAGGAAATAGTTATGTGGCGATACACATTTATTTTTAAAAAACTCTTAGTCTTAATATGCGCTTTAACTAGTTGTGAAGGGAGATAAGCAAAGCCAGTATATCAGTTTTAGATTCTGCCTATAAACTCAATGTATATGAGTTAGTCTACGCTCACCTAGAACTGTACTAGTAAGGAAAACGCGTGGACCTAAAAGGTTGCAATTTGTCCGGGGGACATATAAAGATTCCCATGCGGAATGTTGCGGTTACCATAATGCAGATTAAAGTTTTTGCCTGAGATTCAGTGGAAAATAGCTCTGTGTAGGGCACATCAACGTTGTTTGGAACAAAGTCGTGTTCGGCCGCTGGAGGGGTTGCGTTTGGTTCTGAAGTGATTTTTTTGATTGCTTATTTTTTCCTGTTTCAGGCGCGTGTTATACCTAGACGGCGGCATAGCAAAACTATTAAGTCTGATTGTTGATCGGAGGTGTCTAGACACCATCCCCAGTCCCGTTGCTCTACGATAACTTGGGAAAGTTTCGGAAAAACCTGGTGAGAGAGTAGGTCGATAATGGAGGAGGCCGTACCAAAAGAGAAGATTGGGAATTCCAGCGCGATCACGTGCCCTGGCTTCGGGGTGGCCGAAACAATTCCAAGCCAAGTAATCCCATTAATTACGGTAATCCCATTTTTGCATTAGTGTCTTTCAAATTCACATCACCCCAGCGGACCCGCGCCTCTGGGGTCGGAAATATCCCGACACATCAGCCCGCTGTTTTGTGCGTACACTATGTCCTACGCCTCGTGGGTGTTGGACTTTTCTGTGGTAACAGCTGTTTGAAACTGTGGGAGGTTCGATTGACCCAGGCGGTATTCGATCCATGGATCTATATGGTCATGTACGTTGCAGCTTCTCCCTTCTGCTGCTTAATTGCGACCACATTCAGCTGAACGTGTGAATGACTAAGCATGGCGTCCCAGGGATTAAAAGGGCATGCGCTAAAACGCTGACAATTCAGTAGACGGGGCCGTCAATTTGGAAATGTAATCAATTTTCGAGTGCAAAATAATCTATGTTATCTGTTGCGGTTACACTGAAAACATTTGAAATTGTACGATTGCTAGGAAAGCCTTTTCAAACAGCCAAAAGGGCGCCGTTCGGCTTTGCGGGGCATTTTGCACTTTTGGTTAATTTTGCTAGTCCACTGCTACCGCTACTAACAGGTTTCATTGTGATGGGAGCTGTGAACCCTTGTGAAGCTGTGGAATGGCGCAGTTGAGGCAGGCAGGTTATAAGAATTTACAAGTGTTAGGGTAATCTGCAAGCATAAGATATCCTTTACTGAGTACCATTTGCTGCCCCCACCAAGCCCAACTGCAGCATCGATAGTGTTATTCATTATTATTCTGCAGTTCCCTGTGCATGCGGGAAATAATGAATTTTCGCTGAGGGGAATTATTCAGCGTTCTGTTAGATTCAACAGGGCTGCTCAAAAAGCTGTGCCATTGGGATATTGCTAAGAGCAAGCAATCGTTCAGTGTACTCTCATAGGCTACACAATAGGTTCTCTTCGTGGAATTCGTGATCCCCTGACGATTTATTCTGAGGGTTTTCCAAAAATATGATCTCTATGAATGTATAAATCGCGGTCACTGGAAGGTGGAAGTCTTTCCGGGTATTGGCGGAGAGAATCGTACTTCCTGGATAATCGCGGAATGTCACCCTTGAAAAATTTTTTTAATGTTCGAAACCTCTGTTGTTTCCTTGGAAGTCATTGCAGGTGTGAAAACGCAGGTTGTCCTTTTACCACGCGCTTAGCCTGAGGGTTAGTGTCCTGGGTCTGTTCAAAACCATGGTTTTCTCGCAGTATCCCCGGAAAACTGCCGCAGCATGGATATGAGCGCACGTATAAATGGAAAAGACTGCGAAAATCAACAAACCAAACATTTCTTCCGCCAAGGGTGAGACAGGACTCCCTCTTTGGCAAGAGGCCCATAATACGATCTCCTTTCTGTGGATTCTTAAAGTGCGACGTGACCTTAATCAGCATAACCACTACGATTATCGTATGGAGGTATAGTTGTGCGGGCAAGTCCCCAAAATAAGATGGACACCTGAACTTCATGCTCAGCAGTCCATCAGCCCCCATAGGGTGTGGCTTACTGCTTGCACCACTCGAAAGTGCGTGACAAGTTTGCCAGGGGCATGTCACATGTCTGAGGTCCCGCCCTAATTGATTGAGTAAGCTCCCATGCATGCAGTTGCTGTACAACTATGCGACTGCCGTGTGATAATGCAGTCTTCCTCGTCTGCATGCTCTTCCGTTCTTCTCTCATCTGGGTTCTCCATCGTGCGCTCAGTGTTTCCTCACTGTATGCTCATTCAATGCTCTGGATCGTATCAAAGTAGGTTATTGATAGAAGGGCCGGCACCTTTCCAAAAGTTAGGATTGTTGTAAAACTTTTAACGGTTCCTTCTACTTTATTGTTTGCTTTAGATTCATGTTTCCCATTGCTACTACCTAGAGGTGCATAATTAATCCCATCATCACTTCTTGCCATTGTGATATGCCTATAACTTACTGAACTCATCATGCATTGATTTCAATTCATGTTTCTCAGACCCACTTTGGCGGGCATGCAACTGTTGATGATTCGTTGACGTTGAATTTTTATTGCTTGAAGTAATTTGGGCGCTGTTCCCCTGGCAGTTTGCATCGTATTGGCGATCCCCAGCCAGGGAGGGTCGTGTTTGGTCACTTGTAGGAGGGGTCGTATCTTCCTTGAAAAAGGTTTCATGTTGTTGAATTTCCTCGGTTTTCAGTCTTTTCAGACTCGGGTCTTGCTTCAAGTTATGCTGTGCTTGCCCTGTTCCTTGGACTCCCGACGTTAGACTGTTGTAAAGCTCTTATTCAGACTAGAACTCGAAGAACGATTGAAAGGGAAATGAGATTCCTCTAGGGTTCTCAGGCTTCAGAATTGAATTAGTTTTTCATCTAAAAAAACTTTTTGTCCAAAGGGTTGGATAAAGCTCGCGATGTGTCTTTTCTCCTAATGAGTTCGAGGAACATCTCAGACATCAACTTGAATTTGATTGTGACTCATTGAGGGCAACTGATCGAGGCGGTCTTCAGAAGTCATTTCGCAATCGCTGGAAAAAGCGAGATAAACGCGAGAAGATAGCCATTGAATTGCGTTCTTGGCATTGGAAAATACACGAAGGGATATGGGATACGCGCCACATCAATTCTTCTAGCTACCCAAGGTTAATTCCACCTCTGATATGGACAAGGTCGTTTACATATGCAAGGATATTCCTTGCGAATCGGGTGGGGAAGTTTCCCAGCGGAGCGGTTTGCCCTTTCAGGACTGTTTTCGTTTTCATTTTTCAAAAGTGAGAGGGCATTGGTCTTATGCACATCGGCAAGTGTTTTTCGTTAGGGTTTTAAAGTCCATGTCTGAGAACCCTGACTTCTCAGTACTCTTGTTTTCCTTTCAAATAGCGCCCATCGGAATTTATGGGACGTGCTAAAGAGGATTCACGATCGTCGACGCCTTCACCTTCGTGCTCCGCCTGCGCACTCGTCGCCATCGCGCTAGCGCTCTCTCCGCATTCGTGTTCGTCGTTCTCTCTCTCTCTCGCTCATTCGATGCCCCTCAAAACCTCCGGGAATCTATCTTAGCTTGCTGCTTTGACTTCGGTTTTTCGTTGTTTTCGTGTTATATATGAGGCTAGTTTGAAATTGTCTAGTGTTTTATTCGATTTAGATGACATCTGGCAGCGAAGATCATGACGATGTATTCGTAGAAGGGGAAGAAAACGAGTTAAGTCGGCGGCTAAAAGTGCAGATTAACGAGAAAGATCTGGTGAGTTGAAAGTCTGAACACTGAAGCTTTTCTTCCTCCATCATATTCCCTTAAAATGCTCGGATTTTAATGTGGCGATAGGAAGCGTGGTTAAGACGGCTCAAGTTGCATAGCGCGGTGGCGGTCCTACCGAAGTACCTCCTCATTTATGGTTCGTGGCTTTGGTATCCAGATATGAGTTGGTGGACGCTAATTGACTTGCCGGGATAAGAAGAGTTGACAAAACCGTCGGAAGGGACCTTAAATAAGAGCTTGGACGAGTATTCGAAGGAGCGAGACAGTGCTGTGTGGGAGAGAGATTAGAGACAAATAACGAGAGAACAGAAAACGAGCGGGAAGACAGACCGTTCCCATCGCGTCATACCTGTATTTATAGATAAAGAATTGCTGGCATATTCGCCCTGAGTGGTGTGCTTTCTGCGGGTGGAGCACATTCGGCAAGTAAGGGCTGCAACACCCTTGTCACTCACTACTGGGCCGCGGAAGTGTGACAACCTCGGAGACGGCAGATCGTGCTACTTGGGATTCTACCTATAGGTAATCGCCAATGTGTGGGGGATGTGGGTATCAAGGTACAGCATCGTTGAGTGAACATGCATAGGTGGTCTACTTTTCCTCCGGGGGGGGGTGGATCGTATTTGGTGTTTGGAGAGAGGCCGTATGTGTTTTTGAGCGAAATTTGTTGGTTTTCCCGGTTGTTGACTTATTTATGCGTGATGTTTTCCTCGAGTTTGCATGTGTATCATATATCTCGTAATTAATATAGCCCCGCTCGACCCGAAAAATTACTTGGTGAAAAACTAGACAAGTGCGGGTGAGGACGGAAGAGCAGGGCACAGCGTTCGATGGGGATTCCCTATGGGGGGTCGTATTTGGCCCGCCAAACGAGGGGGGGGTCGTATTTGGTCGTTGTTGGGAGGGGGTCGTATTTCTGGCTAGGAGTTACGTGGTTCACTTCATGGGTTTTATGAATTTTCTGTGTTATAGGTACTATGTACGCCCGTACGATGTACGTCGCATGCCTACTACACTGCTCCCATTTTTCGTCGAGTATGCACACAACCTTAGCCATGCAGCCATCGTACGAACATGAGGGGGGGGGTGGATGCGTACCAGCCCCCTGAAGGGGGACGCGGTGGGTCGTAAACAACGCTCGCGACAAAACCCCCATCGAATCTGTGCTCTGAGGAGGGTCTAGCGAAACCCTAATTTATTATGGGTGGAGGGTCGTACCTACACTACGCACTTCACGCATCCGAGTCTGTTACCTCCTGTGTGGGTTAAGGAACGGGTGAGAAAAATACCTTCAAGAATCAGACGCGAAGTACGCTGTTTGAGCCTAGAGGGGTAAGAGCGGCCCTGGCGACGTAATGCTTTCACCCGATAAGCGGGAGATGCGAGTTCGAGTCAGATATTTGCCCATAGCTCACCATCAGCATTCTTGTGATATTTTGCCTTTACGACTCCTAAACTGTGGACCATGAGGAAGATTTGTTGAGAAATTGGTCCACTACCACTACTTTGTTCCATGTTCCCACAGCCAAAAGTGCTGGGCGTTTTCGAAGGCAAGCTCAGGCTTCTTAGTTATCGTATTCTTCATAAGGTTTCAGTAGAGGTTCTTGTTGTGAAGTCTGAATGCGGTAGGCTTCCGCTGAATCTCCTTTTAAACTTTTATTGACATCAGTAAGTTTCACCTAGACCCTGATTTGCGATTCGAGGAATCTGGGACGAATTATAATTTATTCATTTGTGAGGGCTTCCGTCACAGGTTCTCGTGCGTCAATCCAAGAAATAACTAATAGAGAGGGTTATGTATAAATTACTTTATTCATGAGTTCATTTTCCCTTCAAAAAACTAGTGAATTACTTTAATGTTTCTCGTTTTGAACTGTATAGTAGCCCAGTCATGGCATAAACAACTATATCTAATTAGATTGTGGTACACGACGATAAGTGTTTTCTTGATCTCCCTCTTTGCAATGCTAATAAGAATTAGATTGTTTACTACGCCTGATATCAGAAATGTTAGTGTTAGTAATCCGCTAGTCACTGATGAATCACGGGCTGCCTGTTACAAGCAGAGTACGGTGGATCCCCACAGAAGGGCCCGGAAGTCGTAATTGGTCGCTAGAAGGAGAGGGGGTTCTCTTACAAAAGAGGTCATTCAGGTCGTGGTGAGCTTTTTAAAAACGGTTTGTTGCATGATGTAGGGGTCCATGCAAGGACCACACAGATGGGGTTCATTTTTGCTAAACGGTATTGGGAATGCCAAAAAAGGGTCGAAAAATTCGAAAAGATGGGCGATTTGAACCACCTTATTCAGCTCCGTTCTAGCTGTATCGTTGAGAGTGTATAGTTTATGAGGTGAACTTTGAGTAGACATGAAAAACAACGCAGAAGAAGGTCAAAATCCAAGTACTTTACCTGGCACCGTAGACTGAGAGTCGCACTATCCACTACACCATCCGTCCACTGCGACGGGTGAGATGCGGGAGCCATTGAAGAAGCATGCGGGGATGACGATGAAACTTCAATGTAGCTCACCACATGCCAGGTGAAGTACTTGGATTTTGACC